ACCTCCATCCCCTCACCCCTGCCCCAGAAACCCAAGAGGAGGCAGGGCCTGTAGATCTCTTCAGAAACCCATTCAGTCCCCGAGCTTGGTTCCAGCAGCATTTAGAGAGTAAAGTGAGGCTTGTGGACTCATAATTCTTGCCTAAAAAGGGATTTTCTTCAGGTTTCTCCTACCTCTTTAAACAGGACTTGATGAGAAGCAACTTGATTATTCAGAGGGGAAACAACTGGTGGACAGCTGCTGACCAGGTCCCCTCCTGTGATTTTTTCAGGGTTCAGTTTCCCACTAAACCCTGTTCCTTCTAGCCAGGTTTCATGTCCACTAACTCAGCGTGTGGACCGAGTTTGTTCTGGCTCTTTAGCTGACCCTAAATGCCAGGCCTGTGCAGGGGATAAGCACGCTCTGCCTCCTGATGTTTCCTCCGGGTGACCTTTCCTAGGCACCGAGTGCCCTGTTGCTGCCCAGGGCCAGTCAAAACAATGCCATCCTCGGACTGCACCTCCGGGTGCAGCCTGAGCTCTGGGACTTCTGCTGTCCTTGTTCTTTCCATTTAGGACTCTGGGTCCACAAGAAAGCCGCGAAGAGGTTATAACCAGCTTTCTCTCAGAGCTTTCTGAAACAAAGCACAGGAATAAACTTAACCAAGAAGATGTAAGTTTTCTTTCATAGGGCGAAAACTACATAGCCGAACTTTATAGGTAAAAATTATAAAACACAGCTGAAAGAAATTTTAAAATACACAAGTAAATGGAAAGCTATCCCGTGTTCATAGACTGAAGTAATTGTGAAAATATTACTTCACAAAGTGAAAATATTCCTATTAGCCAGAGTGATCTAAAGATTCTGTGCAATCACTATCAAAATCTCAATAGGGCCAAGCCAGTGTGGCTCAGTGGTTGTAACCTATGAACCAGGAGGTGACAGTTCGATTCCAAGTCAGAGCACATGCCCCAGGGGGCTCCATCCCCAGGTTACCTTTCATCATTGATGTTCCCATCTCTCCCTCTCCCTTCCTCACTCTGAAATCAATAAAAGTATACCAAAAATAAATAAATCATACAGGCTTTGAGTGGGAATTGAATTGAATACAGTCATGGGAGAGCATCTTTAAGCTTTATCCACCAAGTGCATGAGAATAGAAGAAAGGTTGAAAATTCGGTCTTAGATTATCTTCCTTTTCATTTCTCTCAGTCAGGCATTTGACAGAATTATGCAGATGACAATTGGAAGTTACACTTTCTAAAAAGAATGTTTTGTACTGAGGGTGCACCCACGTGCTCTGGGAACGAGAAGACAAATAACAAGTTAAAATTGATCTTAAAGTCAAGTACCTAGATCAGCACTCCTTCAGCATGTTAGCTTTCTATTGCTGCAAAACAAATTCCTACAAACTTAGTGGCTAAAAACAACACAAATTTTGTTATCTCACAGTGACCCACCAACGCTGTGAGATAGATCCTTGCTCAGGGTCTTCCCAGGCAGAAATCAAGGGACAGTCGAGAGCTGTGATCTTATTTGAGGCTCAGGTCCTCATCCAAGTTCATTGATTATTGGTAGAAGTCAATTTTCTTGTGTCTCTAGGACTGAGACATTCAGTACCTAGAGGCCCCTGCTGTTCCCTGCCACATGGCCCTTTTCACATCAGGGCAGTTTGCTTCATCAAGGCTAATGTGAAAATTTCTCTGTCTTCTAAGGGCAAGCTCAGCCAGGATAATCTCCCTAACTTAAATAAAACTGATCAGGGACTTCATTACACCTAGAAATTCTCTTCCTTCTTTTGTGAATCTTGGGGGCTATCTAAGAATTCCACGTTCACATTTGAAGTGGAAGACATTGCCCTATGTTAATATATATTTTTTCTATTGATGTTGCTGCTGAGATTCTTGGAGATTCAAGAATTGTCTTTCATAATTTTCATTTTGGGGAACAAAATTATCTTTTGTTTTCACAAAACCAGTGCAGAAAATAGTTGTCTCTTCTTGGCCATTTGGATATATTTCAAATTGAAGAAATTCTTTAAAAATATACTTTTTATTATGATTAAACTGTGGGAAGTTGTGTGGGAAAAATAAGACTAGTTAGCTGAAAGAAATGTAGATCATGAAAGAGACTCCACAAGAAGAGGTCAAGGTACCACTAATTAAGAAAAGCTTGTGTTGAATAGCCAGTCACCTGGATTAAATTAAATCTATTTCCTTGGATACAAGGCGCCTGGACTGAAACAACCAGTCTGTTCGAGAATCCCTCTGTGCCTTTTCAGTAACCCACAGAAAATTTGGTATTCAATACTTTGAGTCCATAAATCCATTTAAAAAATAAGAATGCACATTACTCTCTGGGAGGTCTTTTCTTTCTTTCTTTTTTTTTCTTTTTTTTTTTTTTTTTTTAATGAGCAAAGAATAGAATAATCATCTCACACAATGCTGCAGGTGTAGAATGCAAGAGCAACTTCAGTAACTGTATGTGCAATTGATAATAGGTCTCCAGTGAAAGGACATTTTTAGATCTCTCTTTTCTCATAGTTTCTTTTCTTGTAAAGTAGCCGATGCCAAAAATAGTTTAATTGTTTCTAGCGGGGCCTTCAAAAACTGCAGTCATCTTATTGGGTGCTTTGTTTAATACAATCTATCCATATGCTTCAGGCTGGCCTGTACAGAGAGCTCACACCTTTGGGTATGCCCTTGGGAAAAGCCGTGTGGCCTCAGTTTTGAGTCACAAAAGGCAGTTTCTTGACTCTGCCTCCGACTTACATTCAATTGTGTTGGTTCAATTTTTAAGTGCCAATAGAGCTGGAAATATCAACAATATTTAAAAATTAAATTATGTTTTGTTCACAAGTAGTTGTGAAGTCCCTGGGTTAGGAACTGTGAAGTCTAGTTGAGTAGCATTATTCAAAGATGACTCTGTGTCTGATGTTATGAGCCACATGGATTCCTTTGTAAGTGATTGTCCTGTCACTAGTTTACAAAATGCCAGATGCTCAAATGAAAAAAATAATTCAACACAAAAAAAGTGGTTTTGGGTTTGAAACTAATTAAAAACAGAAGGCTAATTTTAAAAATAAAAACACTTTTATTGGATTAACCAACAAGTAAATTGAAAAACAATAAAAACTAATTTAAAACACTACTGAGTTCTAGAAATACTGTTGCTGGCCGCCTGTCTCCCCTTCATCCCTCAGCAGATGATTTACCTTATTTCCCTGAGAAATCAGACCACCCCAGGCAGTGTCCCTTCAAGTGCTCTCCCCACACCTTCGACACACACTTAGCAGGTGCTCCATGAATGGCTGTGGGAAAAGGAATGGGATCCAGGAATGTCAAAACCCATTGCTGGTTCTTTACTTCTCTTGTTAATGATGCCCTCTAAAGACCTAGTCCCCCAGTTGTGCATTGGATTCATCCTCCAAAACAGTTCTTAGATCCTCCTTGTCAAGGACCTGGCTCCCATTAGTCAACCCTCCTGAATAACTTCTCTCTTCTCCATTTTTCCTTTTACAAGTAAACATGCTTCAGCTCTCATTTCTCTGAAATGTGTGTGTATGTGAGTGTATGTCTGCGTACATATTACATATGTATATGTCACAATTTATTTAGACTTTCCCTGGTGAAAAGCAATTTAGTTTGTTACCAAATTTTGGCTCTTATAAACATGTGTCCTTGCACACAAGTGAGACAGTTTCTCTAAGGCAGTGGTCCTCAGAGTCTATTCCAGAGCTATTAGGGTAAAATCTCCAAGGTTGCTTCTTACAGCCTGTAAGATAATTGGAATGAGCAGCTTCAGTTGAGTACTACAGCTCTAGGGTGAGAAATAGAAAATCTGGGTAAGAGGGAATGCCTTTTCTAAACTTTATAACCAATTTCACAATGATTCAACAATGCAGTGGCACCTATTTTCTCTTAGTATGGTAAGATATTTTTTTTCTGCTTACTTGTTATCATGTGGTATTGCCAGACTTCAGGTGTGAAATTATACTTCAAGTCATTTTTTACTTACTTTGATTTACATCAATTTGTAGTAAAGTGGAACATCTCTTCCTATTTTTTTCCATTCTGTCTTTTTCTTCTTTAAATTGCCTATTCACATCCCTTCTCTATTTTATGTTGCTGTGTTTGTCTTTTTTATTATTGATTTATAGATGGTATTCAAATATATTCTGTCATAATCTTTTTTTTCAATATGTACAAAGTATATTCTCCCAGTTTTTACTAGTCTTAAATTTGTGGGCTTTTGAGCAAAAGTACCTGAATTTAATTTCCAGCTCCACTACTTATGTTAAGCTGTTCTTTCCTAGAACTGGGGGAATTGAATATTCTCGAACTTTTTTCTCTTTCAAATGGGATGTCAGTGCAATTTTTGAAGTCTGATAAAAATATTATGTTACTAGAGGCCCTGTGCACGACATTCGTGCACTCAGGGGATGGGGGAGTCCCCTCAGCCCAATCTGCACCTTTTAGCAGTCTGGGAGCCCCCAGGGGATGTCCAACAACCTTAGTGCTGCCTCAGAGGTGAGCCACGGTGCTACCCCTATTCCCAGCTCCTGCATTGAGTGCTCATCATAGTGAGCAGTTGTTCTGCCATTTGGTTGATTTGCATATTATCCCTTTATTATATAGGATTATTATATAGGATTCTGTTCTCAACTGCATTAAATTAGTAAACTAATTGACACCTTTAAGATATTGCCTTCCCTTTCTTAAAAATTGGGTATTTCTCCATTTATCTAGGTTAACTTTCATATCTTTAAAGTTTCTTAAATAATAATTCTTAACATCTTTTAACTACTATAAAACTTGTTTTTGTCATCTATTTATAGCTTATTGCTATTGTAAATTGCATCTTTTTATTATGGCTTAATTGTTTACTAATATTAGTGATGTTGAAGAAGGCTATCAGAATTTACATGTTGATATTTATCAAGTAATCATGTAGAGTACTAGTCCATCTAAAATATCTTTTAAAAGAATACTTTATCCTTTGTATGACTAATTTTATCTCCGTGGGGATTCACTGTGCCCCAAAGGTAATATAAAATCTAGTCGAAATACAATGTGGACAGAGCAGTTCCTATTCCATCTCCCTGCTCCAAAAATACACTTAATATGTTGTCCTGAGATAATTTATCAGAACTTAAACTGATAAGAACAGATACTTATGCTTGATCTTTTCCAAAAAGTCACGAAGCCATTATACATTTTTTTAATGTATACATCTTACTGCAAATGACAATTAAAAAAAAAGTTGTGCGCAGGTACAGTCCCTACGCCTGGCCTGCAATAGGGCCACCCTCCCTGGCTGCCTGCAGCCAGGCCTCCCCCCGTGCCCCCATTTCCCTGTTCACCATCAGGTGATCAGAGCCTGCCAACTAGGGGGAGGAACTGAGAGGTCAGCCATTCTGCCTGCTCACTGAACCTACATCCTCCACCACGGGTTGCCCTCTGTGTGTGGGGTGACTGGGAGGGCGGGGGCCTTGGCCTGACGTCATCTGTATCCCCTGCAACCCACCCCCTGTTCCCCATTTTCCATTGGGTGATCAGACCCTGCCAGTTGGGGAAAGAGATCTATAGGTGTGCCTCATAGTGAATGATTGAGCCACTGTTCTGGTCATTCAGCCGTTAGGGTCAATTTGCATATTACCCTTTTGATATATTGGATAGAGGCCTGGTGCATGGGTCGGGGGGCCAGCCCACTTGCCTTGATGGGGGCCCCAGATTGGGGTGGGTGTTCTCACTAGGGGGGTGGAGCTGGCAGAAGGCCGCCGGTGGTTTGTAGGCCGGCCATGCCCCCAATGGGTGGAAGTCCCTGCTGGGGAACTGGGCTGGTCAGGCTGCAGTCCTTCTGATCTCTGGTCATTCTGGTTGTTCTGCCATTGTGGTCACTGAGTGTGTATATATATATATATATATATATATATATATATATATATATATACTGTATATGTTTCAGAGAGGAAAGAAGAGGGAGAGAGAGCTAGAAACATCAGTGATGAGAGTCATTGATCAGCTGTCTCCTCTATGCCCACACTGAGGATGGAGTCCAAAACCCAAGCATGATGTGCCTGACCAGGAATTGAACTGTGACCTCCTGGTTCACAGTTCAATTCTCAACCACTGAGCCATGCCGGCTAGGTACCAGTCTAATCCTTAAATTTCTTACTTCTTTTTCTTATTCTTACTTGTTGGTCAGTTTGCAGTGTTGAGCAATAGCAGTGTGATGTGTGTTGCCCAGATCTCTCTTCAAGGATTGACCTGCTGACCCAGCTTCCAGGAGCACTGTCAGCAGGCAGCCTTCAGCTGGTAAACCCCTAAGGTATTGCTTCAGCTCTAGAAAGCCATCCTGCAAAAGGCCATGCCTTTTCCTTGATGGCCAGTGGCAATGGATCTTGGCCCAATTCAGGACAACACAGAAAAGTCATTCTAGTTCCATAGCTCCACTGGTGTTGACTAAGGCTGTTGTTGGGCCTACTTCACAGTTCAACTTTTCCCTCTCCCAATCCTGCTTCCTTCCCCAACCTTACAAGGGCACTTCTTAATAAACATCCTGCATGCCAAACTCCATCCCAGAGCCTGATTCTGAGGGCACCAACTATGACACAACAATTGTGGGTATCCCTGTTGTTTGCATGGCTTGTTATTAATCAGAATCAAAGATTACAGAGAGAGAATGCCTCTGGGTTGTGGGGCAGAATGTAAGTTCCATGAATGTGGGTATATTCACTAATATATTGCAGACATGTATAAAGGATATACGGAGAACCTGAGACATAGGGTTGGAAGAGAGAATAAAATAAATAGTTTGGAAACCCAGGACTGTAGCCAAACTCAGACCTATAGTGAGGACACTGCAATGGGCATCTCCCTTTGTGCCACTGCCTCTGAAAACCACATATTGTTGCCTCTCTGCTGAAAGGACTCCTCCAGTGCCTGTTTTTATTCATATCACTTTGTTCAGAATTAAAGTCCAGAAAGGAGTGTCATGTGTCCTGATCCAGGCTCTCAGGAGGATCTTTTTAGCTTTGGAAGTGGGAGATCTCATTTCTTCCTCTCCAGGACTTTTGAGATCAGGAACTCCCCACCACACAGCAAGGGGAGTTCAGACACTGGGCAGCCAAAATCATGTAAAATTGTAGCTTCTATAATTGTACTATTAGGGAGCAGCATCCTAGTAAATGTTTAACTAGAACTCCAATGGGGAAAAGCATTGATTTGTAGTATTTGCCAATTAGGGGGATGAAAGTATCCTATGTCCCATTTCAAGCTACCAATGTGTGTTTCAGAACACAGTTGGGAAGAGATGAACTTAATTCTCTCATGAGCCAGCTCATGAATATCAGTATGATGATAGTTACGTTTGATTTCTCCTTTTCAAAAATATGACCAAAAAAATCCCACATTCCTCTTTAGTTACAACTCTTAACAGCTAATCATCACTTGCTAACTCCACCACCTCAAATCATTCATTCGTTGTCTCTAGGCTAAGTCCATCTTCTCCATTATATATCATCTAATTAAGTCCTGGTGGCTAAATTCTCTGAAGTACTTTTGTGCTTATTATAACATTCTTTACCTGTGAATTGCTGTGTCTTTTATGAAACTCTTCTATTAGTGTCTGCAACACCACATTCTTTTGTGACCCGTCTGATTCTCAACCTGGTCCTTCTCAGCTTCGTTTATAAACGCTCTCCTTTCTGTCCTCCCTTTGAATGCTAGACTTTCCCATGGCTCTGTCTTGGCTCTCTTTACAATAATACCTTATCATCCACAAAATAGAGACTCCTGAGTCTACATCTTCAGCCCCAATTCTTTCCTTTGAGGCCCATACTTATACCAGCAGTTGGAACTGCTTTGGCACAATTTTATCTGGCTGCTTCCTATGCATTTCAAATTTGATAAGCTTAAACCTGAACCTGATACACTTAAAACTCCACCCATCTTACCCTTGCTCCAACCCCCATATTTTCCACCACCCCTAGCCAAATCTCTTTATATGTTCCTTATCAAAACCAGAAACATATGATCTTCAAGTCTTCTCTTTTTCTAACCCACATCAAATTATCACCTAGTCTCATAGATTTTTTCATTTGCAATATAATGGCTTAAAATAAAGTCAAATAACTCTTGATTAATGCAATATTTTCCTTACTGGCTTTCTTGCCCCACTACAAGTTATTTAGTCCAATAAGTTATTTGAATGGTGTTCTTGTCCAAAGACACATCTGATATTGCCACTAACTTAAAATCCTCCAGTGATTCTCAAAAGTTCTCAGAAAAAAATTATAGTTCATTAGAAAGACATTCATTGTATGTCTAATTGCCAATCCTATCTTTCTGCTACACAGCAGTAAAGTGATTTTAGGAGTTGATCCTTGCTTCAGAGGTAGACTCTGTTTCATCTAGCCAATCACGATGATCTCATCCCCTTATCAACGATCAACTTAGGAACCCAGGGCTAAGACCACTGATGTTGGTTGACATTTACTGATGGAACTGTGTATTTATGACTAAATTGAGCCAATCTAAGACTGAAGAGAGTTCTCTTGCTTCCTGTGTTGAGGAGAAACTAAGCAACAGAAGAATGTAGCCTTGATTACTCTTGGCTACTACCTTAATAGGCTGAAATTGATGTATGAAAGACAAAGCAGAATGGTGAAAAAAAATCAATAAACTCTGAGCATGTCATGACTTACCTTACTTATTTAAAGTTGATTTGAAATCATCCTAAACATTATAAGACTTATAAGAGCTTCATCTCTCCTTATTTGTCCTCTTGTATTCAAAGTGTTGTCTGTCTGAAGATCAGCTGAATTGATAGTACCAAAGAATCGGTTAGAAATATAGGACTTCAGGCCCCACCCTAGATCTACTGAATTAGAATCTGCTTTTAATAAGACTCTCAGGTGATCATATGCACATTAGAGTTTGAGAAGTGCTGCTCTTCACCAGTGGTTCTTGAAGTGTGGCTCCCAGGCCAACAGCAGCATCGCTTGGGCTTGATTAAAAATACATATGCTGAGGCCTCCAGACCCAAGGAATCAGAAACTCTGGGGGGTGGGTCCCAGAAATCTGTGTTTTAATGGCTGTCACTTCTCCTCCAATACCATTTCTATTTTTAGGGAATGCTGCTACAATCTCTCTCTAGACCACTTTTTGAGAACTATTGTTTACAAGCACTGTTTTCTAAACTTAGCCTTATCCTGAAACCACTCAGAGAGCTTTAGAAATGACTATACCTTCATCTTGTCCTAATAGAATTCTGACAACACATTTAGAGGGTTACCTGAGCACCGGGTGTTTTCAAAGCTTATTTTCAAAGGTAATTTCATTTTCAGCAAATCTGAGACCACTGCACTATACTCTAACCATATTAAGCTACTTTAGCTATTTCTCCACAACCACAAGCTTTCTCTTTAGACCAAATAACTTGTTTTCCCCACTCACTCATTTTTTTCTTTACCAAACTGACCATTCGCAACTTTGTGCAAGTATCACCTCTTCCCAGGAGCTTTTCCTGATGGCAAAGTTGGATTCAGTGCCTCTGCTGTGTACTCAGGTAGCAGCCTGAGCAGCTTTCACACTGTATTCATTTCATTTCTCCTGACCCGTCTTTCTCATGGAAGTCTTTCTGAGTGCGGTAAGTCAGCCATATACACTGTTTCATTCCTCGAGTCTAAACAAAAACTGGCTCTCAACAAGTATTCGTTGAACATTAGGGCAGGAATTGTGTCTCCTACTTCCTTGGTGGTTATAATAGGTCCTCAAAAATATTTATTAAAGTTTTCATAATTGCTTCTTAAAGGAACTTTTTAAATTTGAAAGCCCTCAAATAAAACTAGAAAAAAAATGCTGTAGATGTAAGAAAATTAGGGGAAAATAAAACTTGGAAAACTTAGCTAACACATCAGTTTCCTGCTGTATGAGGACCGCACCTTATGTAATTGAGTTATTTTTTTATTTTAAAAAAAATATATTTTATTGATTTTTTTTACAGAAGGATAGAGAGTTAGAAACATTGATCAGCTGCCTCTTGCACACTCCCTACTGGGGATATGACCACAACCAAGGTACATGCCCTTGAGGGGAATCGAATCTGGGACCTGTCAGTCCGCAGGCTGATGCTCTAACGATTGAGCCAAACTGATTTCAGCAGTAATTGAGTTATTTTTTAGTGGGGCCAGGAGGTGGGTAAGAT